ACGTGGTATCGAGGGTCATTAAAGCATTCGCGTATCGGCCGTGACGATCTAAGTCATCGCGATCGCCGATCCTACGAACACGAACACTCGTATTACGTCGTTATTACGGCGCGTAACAGATGATTATTAGCGGCCCACGGCGTCGTCGCGTTCGGCGCCGGATGCAATTGGCGTCGCGTAATTACGCGAACCAGTCGACACCAGTCAACGCCATGCTTTATAATTCCGCAAAAGGCGGCCTCGACGATGACAGACAGTCGTCCGTTGACGCAGACAGAAAGACACCTAGCGAATGATCTACGATCAAGAGTAACCTTATTTTCCTTATTTAGATCGATCCATTTCGTTCCTCGAACTACTTATAGATCGAAAAAAGAATAGTGCCTCAATTCAGTTCGGATATTTTCAGTTAATTATTCCTATCCATTAACGTATGAAACATATAACAAATATTATATATATATAACAAATATTGTATATATTTTACTATATTATTATATATAATAAAAATATAACAGTCATTACAATAATATTCTTCGAATGATTTGAGGATAAAATTTCAAAACTGACACGCACGATATAAAAATTAATTTTAATTAAATTAATTAAATTTAAATTAATTTTTTTAATTATATTTTTATTCGAATGAAGATAGATAAGCTAAATGTCGACGTTAATATTGTTGTATTGCTCGATATCGATATTATGAAATGCGCATAGTGAACATTTTAAATACATTAATCATCCTGCGCTCACATGCTCTTCTTTCTGTTTTCCTTGAATCTTTCGTAATTCAGGCCATAGATCACGCGCTCGAATCTCGCTTATCGAATTCTTCGATTTTTTTACATGCTATGCTACTACGCAAAAGAAGAGATACGCTTCCTAAATGATATTACGCGAATCATCATTATTGTACCTTCGAAATCATCGCGAGGCCGATCAATTTTCGGCCGTATACACGAGAATTGCTTGCGTATTTTATATTTAATTACTTTAATTCTATACAAAGCTCTCAAAAGCTCTGTTGGAAGTTTTCCGACATGTCCCACGTGTTCTCTTCGCTCTTTCAATCTTTCATATCGAGGAGAGAAGCGCCTTCAATAATCTTCTTTTAATTAGAGGAGCGAAACAAATTTTTTTCGCATTTTGTTTATTTTATTTTCGTTTTATTGGTATGAATACAATGAAGACTATTTCTTGGATTAATTTTTTTTTCAATATGTTTAAAATATTTAAATTTGCCATAGATTTTTTAAATATGTAAAGTTTATTGAATTATTGACAAGTATATATAAACTCTCAATAATTTGTTAAATAATTATCTTTGTAATATTGACATATTTCTTCCTAATAACACTGTATATAAAAAAATTATATATGCATACACCTTAGATTATGTAATTTATATTTTTTTAAATATTTTCATAAAATTAATATTATCTTTCATAAAAAGAATAAAAAATAATTAAAAACTAATTTGATCGACTGGGACAATGTATATAACGATAATTTCGATAGATAAACACAACTGTGCAGAAGACGCAATATCAAATAAAAGTTATTTTTCCTTGATGAATGCTTCCACGAAGAAACGTCACGTGAAAACCGCGACATCCGCCACGACGGAAGGATGGCGGAAGGTCGACGTACAAGCCGTTACATTCCCTCGCGAGAGTTTGCACAGATGTGGCCGGTGTGTTTGAACAAATGCGAACGAGACGACGAAGATGCCACAAGATTCGCGAGTCAGTCGCAAAATATGGCACTCAAGCGCAGCTCCACGTTGAAAAGAAAAAAAACTGTAACGACAGATTTCTATCTTCTTCTAAATAGAAGTGATTTTCAGCAGGACATTGTTGTTCAATTAGATGTCTAGAATTCAAACTTTCGCGTTCATTAAAATTGCTTCACGTGGCTTAATTGCGTGAATCTCGGGGGATTTGATTCATTTCGCGCAAATGTTACGCGCACCTTTTATTTGCACTCATTCAATTACTTTGCTCCGAATGTTTTAATGTAAATTTAATAAAAAGTGATCCACATTCCGATACGAGGCGTAGATATCGATTGCAGCGAATGCGCGATCTCATCGACTTTGTTTTTTCGTTCCATCACATGAATCGACCGATGATGGAGCATATGTCTCGGCGGCGCCTACTGATAACCCTTAATAATCTAACCTTTCCCTGACACCGTCGCGATAATTTCCTTTCAACGCGTTCGTAACCTTTGGTTTTTACGCGTGTTCACACGCATGATAAGAAAATTACGACGCGATCTAACTATAAACTTTTTCTATATAGAAATGCATAAATTTAGAGTATCGATATACTTTAATCGACGATGAATGTAAAAGTTTATATTTTTTTTGCTCTAAATATTATTCAAAATAATTACAAAAAAAATTCAGTACTGAATTGCAAAAATCAATATTTGGCTGATATCGAAAAGTAGACTGCACTTTATATCAGCATCAGTGGCAAGCAGGAGCTGTAGGATTAGAAGACAGAGGTTCCGCTTTTTTATTTGCTAAACAATATTGACGATCACCGCCAACAATGGTGGCAGATGGTTGCTATCGAGAATGCGGCCTTGTTATCGGTATGATAAGGCTTCTAAACTAACACGAGCACAGATGATGCCAGGTGGCTGGGAACGTTATCTTACTTATTCACGAACAATTCCGTTTCACTTGTATTTGCACTCTTTCGTTCTAATATAATTTAAATCTTGTTCGAACTCAATTCATTTTGAGGCTGAAAAAAATGTTGGAAATGTGAGAAGCTGTTCTACACATGAAATGATATTTCGTAATAATATTTAACGCGTGGACGAGAAACTTTGCTTTCAACTATAATTCGACGTCAGGAAAACTCATGTCATTAATCAAGCGTGAATCAAAATGACATGGAAACTATATTTGGCTCCGATCAGCCGGCACTTATCGTGGTAGAAGGAATTTCGAGCCTTTCCGGAGGAAAGCCTTTTTCGACTGGACGGCTTCCAAGTCACTTGGAATCTGCAAAAAGTTTTCGGGAAAGCGTCGCGTTGAGGTTAGTGCGATCGCCAACCAGAAAGAAAAGACGATCCGATCTACCGTGATCGCGATGACTTCTCTCTCGGAAAGGCAATAAAAGGAGAACAACGAACAAACGAGATTGGCGCCAACGCCATGTGGCGGCCATGCTTTCGTTGCCGTTTTGCTTCTCGAGAGGACACGAGAAAAAGAAAAAGAAGAAAGAGGCAGAGAAGGAACAAATACGCTTATTAATACTGCAGGATCAAATCTTAGATTTTCAACTGTAAAATACTTGAAGAAATTCACTAGCATCTTTAAAAGTTTTTGCCTTTCCTCGTTTTTTTAAAAGTTAAAAAAAAACAATTTTTTCTGCGTTACTTTGTGTGTGTGATATTTTGTATATTATAAATTATCCTGAGTTATTTCTAATTTGCATGAAATAATTAAAAATAATTATGTTTGTCGATTTCGACTTTGAATAAAATGATGCCGGTTTTTAAAAATATTAACCGATTCTGCTCTAGTAATCTCATTTGGGAGAGAAGGTTAATAGTAAGACGGAGAATGGGAATGCGAGAAGAAGGTAGAGCGAGAAGCGAGGCTGAGAGGCTAAGAGATGGGGGAGAGTTGGCGCCGGCGATCCGCGATCGAGAAATCCGATGCATCTGCAACGCGCGTAGGTCGCGCTTGTCGCTACGTCAGAGACCGTAGACTTGGATAAATTATTGTATGAGTGATCGATGAAACCGCGCGATCGATCGCTCGCTTTCGTTAGCAATTGCGCGCGAATTCGTCGAACAATTTACGTAATCGCAAAGAAAATATTTAAAGAATACTTAAGATCGCAAGTCGTGCGGCTCGTGAAATTGTTTACGGACTTAACTCGGGAGAAATGTTGCGAAATCGCGATTTCTGCTCTAACGCCGGATAAAATTACGCATCGTGTTTGTACACGTATTTATTACACAAATATAAAGTGTCAGCTTGTTTGATAATTCGTAAAATTCCATGCAATTCTGCATTGTGTTTGACCTAACTTTTTCAAGATCGTTTAGAAAAAACGTACAATTGTATTATCATTTAAAAAGTTATGATTTATCATGTTATCGTATTATAATTTTGACTAAAGTTTCGTTAAACATAATAAAAAATCATAGGAATATACAGGTGTCGTTCTAACTCTCGTAGCGCGTCAGATGGTTAAAAGGAACGAGGGGGAGCAATAAGTCGCACGATGACAAGCGTCTTTGCCGGCGATACTAAAATCAGCGAAATTAGTCTCCGCCTTGGAATTCGAGTCGACTTGACTCGTAGGAGCAGAGAAGAACGAGACGCGCACGTATATTATAATCTTCTCTCTCTCGGCCGGTCCCTGTGTGCGCGCCAGATGGTACCAGCTGGATGACGCATCAAAGCAGAAAATCTCCCGCGTGTCCGAAGCGCGGTTCCGCCCACGGAATCGCGAGGGAAACACGTGCGTCGCCACGCCGTCCGTCACGAATGCAATCTCGGAATGCGAGAATTCAATAAAATTTCATATAACGCGCTTTTTCTTGACGTCTCCGAAAACAGACTTTTAAATGTCGTCTACGTGCACACACTAATACCATATTAAATTTCAAATTCCTCGAGTGGATCTTACATCGATTATACTTGTATTGATTAATTAATCAATACACGGATATAAGATTGTGTACAACTTCTTTAATATTTTATTTATATTTTTCGTATAAGAAATATAAATTTAATATGATAATCAGATTTTTATCAAATATATTTATATGGTCATGTCATATCTATATATTTTGGAGATATCAAGACAAAAAGTTTAAATTACACACGTATTAAATACTTAATTAATATTTAATTATTCATAATCTAGTACTTTTTATCTATAATCTGTTATTTAGTCTTTTTATATTATTTATAGCGCTTAAAATAATTATAATTAATGCGTATTTTTTTATTTTGCTTACAGCCGGTGTCATGGCGGATTCTGAGAGAGACAGCAGCTCCTGCATTCTCGATGCTGACGAGGACAGCAGATCGGATCTACACTCGCCTACTGCATCTGAAGACAGCGTTGAAGTACAGGTGACGCCAATTTCTTTGCGAAACAAGCGGAAACTAGCAGAGCCGCGCAAAATTCAGGAACCGGCTGTCATCACGGCTCCATTGAAGAAGAGACGTTTCGATCCGATCTCTGAGGAAACCACCGTGGATCAGGAGGAGAGTAGATCGATAAGCACGGCGAGTCCCTTTAGACCATGGGTCCCTGTCTCCTGCAAGAGCGAATCCAAGACAACTGCATCCTCAACGACGTCGACAATGACCACAATGACGTCTGGCACGACGACAACGACGACGACATCGATGACATCATCAACGAAGACGTCATCCAGCGAGAAAGAAGGAGAGAAGAGAAAGATAGAGCAGGACGAGACGATGCAGAGGCTGCACGAATCATTTAGAAGACTGCAACATCCTGTCAGTCCAAATAAATCGATTGTTTCCTCTCGACGAGAACTTCGTCAAAGATTATTCGAACCAATGGTGCCGGCAGCAACGACAACATCTACATCTAGCATTATCTCCCTACCACATTCTAGACTGCAGGAGGAGCCCTTGTCCTTGGTGGTGAGAAACGAAACGCCTCGAGTGCCATCACATCCCGCCGTTAGCGGTACCTACGAGAAGACACCGTCGTACATGATGGAACACTTATTAGCAACCTCACCTACTCGTAATCATCAGAATCATCGAAACCACCAGAGTCATCAAGCGGCCTCAACATCGTCGAAACATCATCATCAGGGAGGCCAGCAGAGAAACTATAAAAACATGACGAGGGAGAGACGAATAGAAGCGAACGCTCGAGAAAGAACCAGGGTGCACACTATCAGCGCGGCCTTTGATACCTTGAGACACGCCATACCTGCCTATTCACACAACCAGAAATTGTCAAAGTTATCGGTGCTAAGGATCGCCTGCAGTTACATCATGACGCTTAGCAAGATTCTTCAAGAAAATAACAATGAAGTTATGGCTACGAGGAACAATGGCCCGGCAGATCTGGATGGTTGCGTAGAATTAGTCTCCAGAACTATCCAAACGGAGGGCAAGCTCAGAAAGCGAAAAGACGACTGAACAAATCCCGTTTTGAACAACATGAGGGCAACAAAGAATTTATACAGACGAGAATCTGTTATAAATACAGAAATAAGGAAGATTTCGCTTCACATACGCTTGTCAAACGCTTCGTCTTCTATTCTCAATGCCATTCGATTTGCAGGGGAGAGGAGAGCGACTTAGACTTAATCTAAAATAAGCTATGTTAGCTTAAGTGATCATTGATTTTTTTTAAAGTATGCAAGGTTGTCTTGATTAGTTGGTAGGGTATCGATCAGAAAAGCGTTAATTGACATTACAAATTATGGGCGTCATGAAAATTTCTTATTAAGAAGAAGACACGAAAGTGTCTGCGTTCAAAAATGATAATGAGTTTTGCTTGCATAAAACATTATGGAAGAACTACTCACTATTGTTAGAGAATTTATGTAATATATTTTTCAAAATCGCAATAAGCGAACTTTAGATGAATATTCTCTCTCGACAGAGAAAATTTCTGGCGCCCATGATTATAAGGCCATCTACGTACCGATAGCAGCTGTGCAACCAGACAATAAATCTTTAGAAATATCTTCATACTTAGACGGCGCTTGGTTTATGGCAAACACTGCTGCAATCGTTGCACCGCATCATGAAAATTATGATGAAAAGAGAACAATTTTCCAAATCCACTTTTTTACTAGTAAATACAAATTTCTTATATGAAATGAATATATGTGTGTGTATATATATATATTCATTTCATATAAGAAATTTTTATTATAAATTTATATATATATATATATATATATATATATATACACTACATATATATTATATATATAAATTATATATTATCTTTTATAAAATATAATTTTCTAAATTTCTCCATTTGGCGTTGATAGATCCATAGAAAGCATTATAATGTATAATCTATTACTTTGATGGAGCCTTAAATATTTTTCAAGACATATTGCCTTTCGAAAGAGTTAATTGCGAAGCATGCGAACGCGCCTTGATTCGGTCGAGCAAATTTGCGTGTTGCTTAAAATAGCAATTTACAAACTGCGATTCATTGAGATGCATACTTATCAAGGACAATGGGATCGGTCGATCATTAGTAATCTGTTGCACCAGCTTAGAAAACCGATCTAGAACGTGTGGGATAATGAGAAAAGATGAAACAAAAGCGAAGACAATAATAATACTGTTAGCGGTATATTTGATGAAGCAGAGTCAACATTATGTAATATGACGATTAAAAATAATCCACCGCCATTAAACTACAAACGGTATCGTCTTCCTGTGAAAATATAATAGCTTAATAAAACATGCTATTAAAGAAAGTATTATCATTATAACGGAGTTAGATCTACTGTAAAAGTCTCTCACATTTTTGAAAAGATTTCTCGATCTGCGAAGTTTACAGTTAAATCCTTAATTAAAAACAATATAATTAATTTCTTAGTTAAAAACAATATAATGTTTATAAACTGTAATAATTTGTTTTTTTAATACTTAATTCCAATATTAATATTAAATATTAAAAAAAATTAGTAACAAAATTAATTTTAATATTAATATTAATGTTGAAAATATCTATATATAGAGAGAATGTGCGGCATTATATAATGTTAACTTCGAAACATATAGATTTTACCCTGGTCAATAAACATTACACTGAATTGTTAATAAAAAGATTATGCGATTTGTTCACAATTACGATTGTCGTTGTTGCGAGGATGTTACCTGATCCTAAAGAAGCTAAATGTAAAAGTGATCGGAGAAAAGTCAGCATACGTTCATATAGTCTTTTGGCGCGGTCCCGTTGACTGCGTATCGAACTCTTGTAAATAGTAGAAGTAACTATGTTATGATTAACGATTTATGCCGCAGCGAGATATAGTAATCGAACATGTGTTATGCGACGCAAGAAAAAAGCGCATTTGTATGTATATTATCGCCTTACGCGGTGATTCGATGCGATATTCGATATGTACCTTTTTACGTTATAAGGCAACTTCAAGCAAAGTTCAAATGAAAGTGAAAGAAATTCAACAACGAAAATTCTGTATTCTCTCTTTTTGTATGCAATCACATCTCCTTTCTCCGCCATTTTCTGCCAATCCTTCCCGAATAGTGATATATACATTTCGTATAATCATTTTGTTAAAATTAATATTTTATGAATCTATTTATCTTTCTATTTATGAATTCTATTCAGACAAAGAATAGAGAAATTTATCTTTTTAAAAAAGTTTTTAATTTGTACTGCCTGATTATGAGCGTTGATTCATATCATGATGTTTGTTGAATTTTAATTGAATGTGACTGAAGATCGTTTAATGCTAAATATGCAGTGAGAATATGGGTCACAGTCGTATCGTGTGTCTCATGAAAACGCAACATTGAGCAAAAATATAAATTCAAGCTCGGCTAACATTGCTCAGTCGGGCGTAAATATGTAACCAGTCGGAGCCAGATTTCACGAGTTTACCTAAGCGTCCGATGGAATCGCGCTGTTATCGCGGCGACGAGGTAAAAGTGGATCCAATAGAGTATTTCATAAAAATACACGCATACACACACACACATACACACAACGTGCGCGGCATGTATTCAGGTGTAACGACACCAAACACATCGTTGACGCGAGACCAGAATGTTTCCCGAGCGAGCGCACATCTGGCCGACAGATAACGATATCGACCAACAATCCAATTGTGTTACCTGTCGTACACGAAAGCTCGTTGGTGTCATAAAACTGCATTCATGATTAATTATATTATTTTTGAAATCGGCACACTTGTAATATTTATTATTCTCAAATATTCTTAATTTTCTGAATTTGCGTCTATGTTTCTTTCATACAGAATCTTTGGAATGTTAAAATTGCGATAGAAATTCAAAATATAAACATCAAAGATTTTCAAATTATAGATTTTCTAATCATTACAATTGGACATTGAAATATGAGAAAAAAATATATGTATATAATTTTCATACTTTATAATTATAATATTTTAATTCTATTTAATGATTTTTTTTAATAATTCGCGATACCACTGTAACCGGATTATTTGCGACGAATCGATGCACAGCACGTTCAAGCCATATCCGGTTCGGCAGCTGTTTAGTATAAGGGCAAATTGCTTAAGAAAATAATGATTTTCCTTGCCGTGTCTTACGATTCGCGCCTCCTTCTTCCATTATCCCGAGATACAGCAGGTGGCGATGACGTTCTCGCGTTCGACTGGCTACCTGCTCGAAAACGAGCACGCGGTTTTACTCACCATGCCAGCATCACATACCAGCTCTCATACGTGTATTCGCGTACTCGTGATCGTATCTCGGGATCGTCATGAATGCACATGTAACACGGCCGTTAGGGGAATAACTCGGGGAAAAGTTGAAGTGGAGGCTGCGCGAAGAACGGCAAGGGCAAAAAAAATCTGACAAGTGCTACGAAATATGCATACAGCGATATAGTGATTGGAATAATAAATAAACAGGAATTTAAACAATTATTCGATTGGAAATTCAAGGAAAATTTCTACGAAATTTTTTGAAATATCAAAGATATTCAAAGTATGTATTCTGTTCTTCATTTACTCTTTGATACTCTTTAATGAATCGGAAATTTAATACTACTTTCAAATTTCTCTCATAAAACTTTGAGTCGCGTTTTATTCCAGTATCTCGAGTTTGTTATATCATGCCAGTTGTATATACGCGCGAGCTGCTACACGGCAGCCCGATTTTCCAAATTTAGGAGAAGTAATTTAGGAGAAGTGAGAGCTGCATGAGAAACTATACCGTGTGCTTTTCCGCGAGCAGGTGCACTGCCACGAATGTGACGAACAACTCTGACGGACTTCATAATCCGACCGATGCGGATCGTAAAAACGTGAAGCATAATATGCATGAAATCGATTATAAGTTTCGAGGTGGCGTTCTCTCTAAAAGAAGAAGCAACAATAAGAATAAAAAAATTTTAAAGGCGCAATTCTTACATAGTTGTGCAAACAATAAACCACAGTAATCTCGGTTAACGAATAAATTATTGAATAAATTAAAAATGCATTCCATTCCAGATTAGAATAAGTAAATAAAATAAAAACTTTGCAAAAATTTTTCTAATACAAGTCATATTAAATATAATGGCTGGTACAAACAACAGAGAAAAGCTGATTTAAACGTTAATCGATTTTAATGCTGCCGGAACCGCCGGAGATATTATTTACGACTATCACTTAGCTTCCATTTGCAATTAGAGCACCTCTATGCGCGATTCACGGATGGCAGTTCCGTTCGCCTGCAGATGAAGCGAAAGAATGCCGACCGGGCAGTGAGCGAGCAGGTGCTCGGAACATAACATCGCGATATACGGGCTCTCCTCACTTCTTTTTCAGTTTTCTCCTCATGCAGCGAACATCCCTCTCTCCTTACATTCTTCTCTCGAATATATCATTCTAAAGTATATCTACTTTGCGTATCTTAAACGGTAATCGTGAACAAACAAGGAAAGTAGAAGCTCATTTGAATAATTCAAGTGTAATGCATTTTAATATATTGGTAAAAAAATTATCACTATCTTGATAAGTACAAAGAACGTCGGAAAATTATGTATGATGCATGATCATATTAAATTAATTTTAAGAAAATTAATTTCTCAGATTTAAATCTAGTCTATATTTAAATGTATATCCTTCCCTCTCATTCATTGTTAAATATCTTACAGTAAAAAGATATGTATTGCTAAAAAAAAATCTTCTGAATTTATAATTGTCAGAATAAAAAAATTAACAAGTTAAGAAAATGAAATTAAAAAATTAAACGGAAACCATACGCAAGAAGATAAAGACAAGGTGTGGAATTTTGCGGAAGTGCAGCAACAATGGGAATGCATCTGCGAATTGCATGCGTGCACGCTTTGCGAGACTGATTATGCGTTTGCGGTGCAAGGACACGCGAGTCGATCAGTCCCGCGATCCCGCCTCACGCCTCTTATTTTTCGTGCGGACTCGAGAAGCGAACCGACCGTGGGTACGCACCTGCTAAGAGGCAGGCGCAGGTGCATTTACCCACCTTCATAAGCATTACTTAATTTTCGACGGTTACATAGCGCGAGTACAGTAATTGGCTTGGTGCGTATCCAAAAAAAAGATAAAAGGACACCCGCCTTGAGCGGTCATGCTCGCTTTCATGTCACAAGCTCGTATTCCATTTCCTCATCTGACTCTTTCATCGTTCATATATTTCATTTAATTTGGGAACATTTAATATCAAAAATCGTAAAGTTGTAAAAAATGTGATATCCGATTAAATTCTTTGCATCAGATTTCAAGAAAAAAAGCAAATAAAAATATACATTCTGGATGATGATGCTCATCTTGGACAATTCATTGCTGTTTTCTTATTCCTTTTTATTTTATATTATTTAATTATTTTAAAGAAAGAGAAAGAAAAACTTAGATAATTAAAATAATTATTTAATTAACTTTTAATTTTCATATTAGTTCAAGTATAAAGTTATTAATATATTTTTTAGTGTAAAATCATTGTTATTTAATGAAGAAATAATAAAACTAAAAAATAATTTTCTACGCAAACATATTAAAAAATAATGTTTGCATTCCGGATATAATTCAATTTGAAATAGTCTCCGCGTTTTAATGTTCGTTCGATGCACTCGTAGCATATCGGCCAAATCAATTTCACGAG